ATCGATCAAGTGCTGGACGTCCATCTTGCCATTGGAAGGATGCGGTATGCCGAGGAGGCTCGATGGACTGCTCTCGTTCGGAGAACGAGTCAGGGCGTTCGCACTGGCTACACCCGAAGATAACTCTGAAGTCGAGTGCGCCGGCAGGCTTGTTGACACCGGTGAGGCTACCGGTGCGTGCTGAGACCGGTTCACGTACCGGTGATGACCACGACACGGACACGTTGTCCTTAGAGCTGAGCGCAGCTTCAGCATCCATGTCGACCGAAGGAGATTCTCCCCCACCAAGGGTGGAGCCGCCAGCATCCGTGGGGTGACCCACGGCGAGAAGTGCCGGAACACGTGGGTGGCGTGCGTTGTTCACGAAGAACGGCGTCATACCCGTCGAGGAGTGCTCGGCGTTGTTGAGTGCGAACTCGGCTAGCGGTAGGAACGAGCTCCAGCTCGTGTACGAAGTTGCATAGCTGCGGAGAACGTCTTCAAGGACGCGGTTGACGCGTTCTGTTTGTCCATCCGTGTCCGGATGTGCCGCAGTTGACATCAGCAATTTGGCTCCCAAGAGCTCGAAGAGGTGTGACCAGAACGCGGATGTAAACCTGCGGGTCGCGGTCGGACACGATAGACTCCGGGCAGGCTGTGATGACGAAAATTCACGTCGACGAAGTGGGCCGCGGACTCTTCCGCGGTGGATTGAGGCCGCCACCGGAACGAGATGGACCATTTTGCTGAAACGATCGACGAACACAAGTACACCCGTGCGCCCGGCTGTATCGGGCGGAAGACCGAAGATGAAGTCCATCGAAATGGAGCGCCAGGCTTCCGTGGCGACCGGAAGAGGGCGCAATGGGGCCTGAGACGTCGAAGACGGTTTGACTCGCTGGCAAGTTTCACATGTGCGGACCCACTTGCGTACCCACTTGTACATGTGCGGCCAATAGAAGTCTCTCGACAGAGCCGCGTACGTCTTCTCGCGACCGAGATGTCCTCCAGTCGGGGCATCATGATACTCGTGGATTATGCGCGCACGTAGATCAGCGTCGTTTGGGACGACGACTCGAGGTCCATCGAACCTGTCGATGCTGTACTTGAGCAGATTACCGTCCAGTCGATATCGATCGATCTGATTCCGCGTGGTCTTGGACAGGGCACTTAGCGTGTCACTACTAGGAGCACGCAGGTGCTTCATGATGGCGCCGTATATAGGGTCATCAGCGTACGCTGTAGCAATCTCGTCGCCCAGCGGGAGCGTGGGCGTGGTCAACGTCAAGTTGATGCCTGACGACACGCAGACCGCACATTCGTCGTCGTCCTCATCAGCGAGCTGATGTCCTAGCGCCTCACGGGGATCG